AATCCGTTTGTTCCGAAATGCCTTAAAATTTAAATTTCTTTCAAACTATATAATAATAATAATAATGATAATAATAAAGCAAATAAAAAACAACAAAAAACAACCAACCAAACAATAACCCTTCCAACCTCTAATTCTAATCAAAGGGACATGAGTCAAAGAAAGATGGCTTTTTTTTCAATTACTCACTTCCCTTGGTTACTAAAGGTTTCCGCTCACTCACTCCAATGTTATTTTGATGGGCAGTGTTTGCAGCTTACAACTTAGTCAGATTAAAATTAAAATAAACTCTATTTTTCCCTCTGTGCTTTCAGGCTTGATACTGAATAGACACAATATTTTCGAATTTTTACTGTCAGTGTTTTCAGTCTAAGGACTGTCACATTACTGGCAGTATTTTTACACTAATTCTCCTTAATCCACGGTTATAATTATATTCAGCGATAAACCGTACCAGAATCCCTTTGAATTTGATGACACAGACGCGGATTAAACTTTGTGTGCAGAATTCAAAATATAATTTCGACATATATTTGTTTAAGATGTGGGATTCAAGTTAGGCCAAATCAACGCACTTTTGTCGAAACACATTCTTTGAGAAGAATCTGACTATATTACTCGTATATATATAGATCTATGGGTGTGGCAGACGCCGAGCGCACGATGTTGTGAGAGCAAAACGACAGAACACAGGTCCGTCGCCGGTGCGCTTTTTTTTTGGATAAGTGTTTTACGGCGCTCGCAACTGCGTAAGATCATATTATTATGAGCGTGCGGGACACATTAAACATTTTTCAGTTGGTAGGAAATTTTGAATTTTGCTCGGGTGGCGGCCGAAGCCTACTCTAAACTATTTTAGACCACCAATGGATCTTTAACGTGCGCAACTGGCACACGGGACCTCCGAGATTTTTCACCCTTGTCCGAGAAGGCTAGGTGTAGATCTTTCCTACCAAAAGATCAGGGGTGTACATGTAGCTGAAAGACAGGAGTAAGGAGCCAAGGAGTAGCAGCAGAAAGAGTCATGAGCCCAGAGGCCAGAGGAGGGGGCAAAGGGGTCAGAGGGTGGGGGCAGAAAGTGGAGACGAAAGCAGACGACAGAACATTGCTACAGAGCAGGGAGGGAGGTGAAAGAAGACAATTTTAGAGAAGAAAATTGCTTGCAATTGCAGTGGCGTGACTTGAGAGGGTTGCTCCATCACTGCGTTAATCTCTCTCTCTCTCTTACCTTTTACACATTGTTAACGAGCCTTTGTCCCTGCTATAACCGATTGGGCTCCGGTGAGGCCCTATTAGTGTTATGGCCGATAACTTTTAATAGAGACAAAGAGTAGGAAAAAACGGGGATTAAAAAAAACCCTGTTATTGTTATTATGGTTTCCACTGTAGATCTGCAGTAGCTCAAGCGCCCTGTGCCTACTTTTTCCTTCAGTTAATGTTATGTTCCCGTGTTACAAGTTTCGCCACCCCACGTGGGGACAATAACGATGTGGTGCTAGGCTGAGGTCATGCTATGTCACTTGAGTCACTGATTGGAAAATCTGGATTAACATCAGTGCATCCAGCTTTGCCACTCTCTCCCCTGCATACTTAATACATGGTATGACACATCATAATTAACTTAGGCGTCTTGTGGGTCATGTAGGTAAACTTCGCCAAGGATGTTCTTTTGTCGCTTTATTTCTGCTTTCTTGTCCATTTGTTTGAGGATTTTGTCAACAGCTGGACCTGTTATAGCTGAGCATGTCTATTCTGAATGTCTGCTATAAAAAATCTTTTTTATTATTACAACTTACAGAGATTGGACTCACACTTTTATTATAAGCCCGTTACAGCTAAAATCCTGCCATAATTGAAACTTACAAGCAGGGCCCACAATAAGATACGATACGTCAAGTCTATGGGTAGAGTTCCCTAAAATTTATAATATATTAAGTATGTACAGTACAGCATGACTATAGCGTCACCCCCTACAGCGGGGACCTTACAGGAACCCCCGTTTTTCTCTATGTAAACTCAATTACATGTGCTCGGGTTTATAAGAAAAGGCCGAACTCGGATACAGCGGGAGAGATCGAGCAAGGTTTAGCTGGGGGGAAGGGGTTTGGGGGACTTTAGGGGGGCTCCAAACAGGCAGTCAGCAGTGCAGTGTTGTGATTGGCCAGCACAGTGATGAGTGAGGTGGGGCAGGCGGCAGAGAGAGATGGTGCGGAGAGACGCGTTACGTGAGCCAATCCAAAAGTGATGTGCTGAAGCTTACATATTCAGTATGAGAGCTTACAGGCCATAGTCCTAGGCCTGGGCTGAGCCAAAAAGTAAAAGAAGAGGAGAGCGTGTAGTGTATGATTCCTGATTCATTGAGTTGCAATCGTTTATGCTTATAGGCATGCACACGCATCCACTTCACCAGCGCTACAGTAGGCCTAGGCTTAACGGTACGAAAGACATAACAAGCAACGAGACCGAGGAAAAGATGGCTTCCAACAAAGACAACAGGAAATGCTTCTCAGACTAATCACTGATCTAAAGCGAAAATTTTATTGATATGGGAGGGAGGTAATCAGGTAGATTTAAAAAAATTTTTTCCAGTAATTTCCCCTTTGCATTCCTATAGCGGGAACTCGCCTACAGCGGGATTTTTCTTCTGGAACCAAAAGTCCCGCTATAGCTGTGTTCTACTGCAATAATAGAGAATATGTTAAAAATCTAATACAGTATAATATTCAAAGGTAAAAAGCACAAACAGTAGAGTAAAATATGTCCACTTCAGCTCAATTCAACAAATTAAAAAAACCCAAACAAACCAAAATGACAAGTTCAAAATTTTAAGAAATTTATTTCTCATGCATTGGTTCCAATTTCTTACATCAGCACCACTCATTCATTGGTCACACACCTCACAAGACGTCAGCACCAGTCTACAAAAAGTGTCAAATTTGTAAATTAATGAAAAACATTAGACCTGTGGTATTTAAAAAAAAACGAAAACACCATATCTTACTGAATTAATGAGTGTTTGCTGATGAAAAAAAAAAAAAAAAAAAGAGTACCCAAGACTCACCCCCCCCCCCCCCCCCCCCCGGAAAAGACAAACACATTACTTCAGTAAATGAAATTTAGTCTAAACAGTTGCAAAATATTGAAGAACTTCCCAAAACTCACTGTAGATTCAAAGTGAGCAACAAATTTATAACCAGTGCGGAATCCAAGCACCCACGCAAAGCAAATATACGTCCTTACAGGTTCTTGCATGCACACACAAGCAAACACACTTCTATCACAATCTGAACCAACAGCAACTAGAACATAATAACAATTGGGAAAAAAATCACCTAAAACCACATCTGCTGACTCTCTTTACACAACACTTGTGTTGAATGATAAGTTATGAAGCTGGCATTTTTACAGACTTTGGCTGTAATATCTGGTAAAAGAATACCGCTACTTACATATGGAGGCCTACTTGCAAATTATTTTTTGCTGTCTTTCGACCTTCTCAAAAATAGCAAAATAGATTAATACATTCTATCGTACATCTAGAGAAAGAGACAAGCTTCACCTTAGTTACATGTAGTCATATCTCTGTAAAGTTGTAAGAAAACAAAAGTCAAGCTTTTCTACCAGATTTTAAAAAACACAACACCTGCCTTGTTACAACGTGGTGGACTCAGGCCCTCGTTAATTTTCGGGTATATGGAGCTAATAGTATCATTATACAGCTTGTTCATTTGTCTTACTTGAGATAAAAAGAAATACCCACCTATCTTGAACAGAAGTCGAGATATTTGCAATTGAAGGAGGTAGGGTCGCCTGGTTTCAGAGGTGCAATTAGCAAGAAAATTACATAGTTTGAGAGACCTCGGAAACAAATACTTTACATTTTTGGTGCCTTTTACCAACTTTTAAAATTGAAATCTTCACAAAAATGTGTTTTTCAATTGATATAAAAGGTGTTGAACCAAAAAATAAGTATTTGAAAAAAAATTGCAAGACCGGGGGAAAAATGCCGACTTCTCTGAATTCATTATTTTGACGAGCACCTGATTTCACCATGCTGCCTCACAATTAATGTCACATTACACTGATATGAAAACTGTCAAATCTCGCAATAAAGTAATCAAAGTTCTGAATATCAAAAACAGGATGATGATGAAAGGCAAGTAGTGCGAGTGAAGGACAGAATGTACTCACTCCCACACAATGTGTCTCATACCAAAAAATCATATCTTCCCTGCACATCGTTTAAAACTTTCAATAAGATATGGAACCCTTCTAGAACAGACAGCCTATCCTTGTGAATTGATACCAGTGTTGACATCATGTCAGAATTTTCACACAGCCTTGCACTGTTCAGAGATTGTTGCACTTCTCATTTCCAGAGAATAAAATAAAAACAAAACAAACCAGACATTTAAAATCAAAAGCAAACAGGACAACATTTATCTCCCAAGAACGCTCTTGATTCTGTCTCTGCTGGTGAAAAGAACGTATGCTGCTGACAGACCCAGACCAATGCCTCCACCCCGAAGACATCTTTTCCAGCCAGCTGTGGACAATATAAACATAGAATAAAATCTATGAGACATAATGTTTTAAGCTTTCTTTAATAACACAATGTAAGTGGAATTATTGTAGTAGACACTCAAAATAAAAAAGGAAGAAAAAAAAGTCTTAAAACTGCTATACAGGGAGTGAAAAACTGGAAAGACAAAGGAAATAAAGTTCACAAAAATCACTTTTTACCAAGAATCAAAGCAAAGCTCAAGCTCTCTTCTGTACCAACCAACGTACTTTAACTGTGGTTTCGGTTTAGAAATAGTTGCTGTAACAGAGATGATTGTTCACAATGCAGAGTTGAAAATGCCATGCTTGCAGCAATACTCAATTTTTGAAAAAAAAAAATGTTCTCATCTACTTCTTTTAATTACAGCAATTTGAACCGCGGCGGTACCCGTAGTGTCTTCTTGGCGACATTGTCATATTGCTTTTAAATCCGCCAAACTGTTGCACAGAGCAAAAGAAAGGGTAGATCAGCACACTGTACTGTTCTCTGTGTTAGTCTGGAGAAGTGAAAAAGCCCAATGCCAGTGAAGTCATGGAATAGTTCATATGTTCATGTGTTGGGTCTTCATGAACAAACTTCACAGAGACAAGAGGCCATGACCAAGGAAAGCAGCACACTGGCATCCAACAGAAACAGACCCTCATTCGTCTGTCTCTTTCTCCTGTTTCACTACCTCAAAGGACTCAACACTTGTTGATTGCATTACTGTTAGGGTGGCTAGTGAAAGTCTAGTTGACACAGCCCTTGAAATTCTTTTCAGTTTAGAAACGGTAGCATTTCAGCCAAGGTTAGTTTTCTTATAAAGACATAGGAAAAACAACCCCATTACTTTCTTTCCATTTACTGCTATTTCCGGATTAACTTGAGTTCTGTTTCAGTGGACTCCACTGCATTTCATAAGACAATGTGCTAGTGATTAATGAAATTAGAATGGACCTTAAAAAGATATAAAAGAATGTTTACCTGATGATTTGTACAGCATTCCTGTGGCTGTGCCAGCAACCACAGTGTTGAGCTCATCATCCACACCACGTCCTTGTGACAAAATGACTCCAAACACGCTGTACATCAGGGCTGCACAAAATAAAAACCGAGTCACATGTTCAGGTATATTTAATCTATTCTTGTCATTAACAATGACAGCTGTTAATAATCATTACTATCTCTTGCCTCTATATACGTAAAAAAAGGCTCTAATTTCTTTCTGAGATTTGTATGTCTTTCTGAGATTTGTATGTCTTTCTGAGATTTGTATGTCTTTCTGAGATTTGTATGTCTTTCTGAGATTTGTATGTCTTCCTGCCATTTGAATGTCTTTTATCTCACATTACCCACTCAACTCAAAAAGTACCATAACACAACGTTTTTGTCATCCAATTATTCAGGCTAAAACTTAATGACCTAAGCTTAAACAGAATGCCCTCTCTTCATTTCAAGATCAGTAGAAGAGCAGGCAGTTCAAGTGAAAGAGGAAAAGAGAGACAATAATGGTCCTTTTTGTGTGAGGCAAATGGTGTGATTGGAACCGCCCCCCGCCCCAAAAAAAACCCCTCAAAATTTTACTGAACCAGCCATAGCCACTGTCAACCACCCATGCTTTACTGTTAATTGTGCAAAACAAGATAGACAAAATGAAAATGCAAAGTTGTTTGCCATTTCCACTGGCAGTCATTGGTATATGATAAAGTCTTAAAACCATTTCAAAACAAGAAACATATTGATCATGAAACTTACCCACAACACCTAGAGTTTGAGCTGTTGATGCTCCACCCTTTGTGATAAAATTCAACAACCTGGAAACAAAAAAAGGGTATAGCACTTATATTTCAAATCAATAAGAGTTAATCCAAAAAAATTGTGTGCTGTTGAACAGTAGACAACATTGCTCATTTGGCCAATGTATGCCAGTTACAAGTATAAGAAAAAGAATGATAATCTGCTTTGCCAAATAAGGCTATTTCCTGGTAGCGATTGCTTTCCTGCTCGCAACCCCTGTATCAAAGACGTGTAAGTTAACTCAATACTGTCTGCATACAAGTCACATCACAACCCTTCTATATAAAGTCATATATATATATACACACACACTATGACCTACATCTAATTTTGAACCCCCTGCAAAAAAAAAAAAAAAAAAGAATTTTTAATCAAGGAGGCCCAAACAAAAAGCCCAGTAATTTAACGCTAAGATAGCCTTGAAAACTAGAACAGCTATTTTAATTTCAACTCCTTACTGTGTCCTTCTGTTTGCACCAACAAGTTGACGAGCTTGAACGTCCTTGACACCGGAATACAATCCATTGAGCCCTCCGACAGCAGCACCTAGAATAAGATAGATGACATAAGAATGTGAGTAAGTTATGGCAACTTCCTTTGAAGCAAATTTTCTGAAGTTTATTAAAAGCCAGGTTCTGCAAACAGCTTTCAACAAACAACAATGTTGAGGCATTATGTTTCCTCAAAAAAGAAATAAGCCTGTACGTATAAGAACATTTCTGAGCCCTTGACTGTTGACTAAATTGTACAGGTGATATGATATTTCTTTACTACAACATAAAGAGGCATTTATACCAGATTTATAATTATGGCAGGGTCCACTTATCAGCATTCCAGATAATAGCAACCTTCACCTTACAGCAACCTCAGCTTTTGTAATGGAACTTTTCCCAATACAAATCTTCTTTAACACACTTATACACTGTCCGATGAAACTTTTTGTTCAGAAGATTAAAAAACCGTGCCTATAATTTTAGTACGTGTGTGTGCAGCCATCCTCTCTTGCATATTTCCCCAAAACCTCAGGCCAAAAATGCACCATTCTGAGTACACGCACTCCCGCCAAGAGCCACCTTCCTTCAAGAATTTGAGAGAAAAAATCTTGGCCACTGTAAATAGCACTGCTGTTGATGTTTGAACTTTGCCATGCTCTCACTTTCTGATATAACAACATCACCACATCCTACAATTAGAATCCATGCATGTGTGTGTGTGTGTGTGCGAGTGTGTGTTTTGGGTGGGTTGGGGGGGGAGACTGTAAACTTGAAAGATAATGATTTATAACTCAACGAAGCAGCAACATTAGCCTAACAGCAACCAAAGCTTGCTAACCACCATTGAACTACTTCAAGGTGTAACTTTACTACATTTCATGTAATATCATTGGAAAAAAACATCCACAAACAACTTATAGACAGAAAGTTAAAAATTTTCTTAAGATTTCACCCAAAAAGTTAAAGAAACAGAAATTCTTTCCATGATATAAAAAAACAAACCACACCAAAAAAAAGCAACAACAACCCATTAATGAAACCAAGAAGAACAAACTTTGAACTATGTCTAAGTGCTAACCAAAATGACAAAATAAAAACAGCACAGTGCACACACACTTGGTCAACCCCCCGACCTAACATTGGAAAAAAATACTTCTCACAACAGGCACTGAAATGTTTATTATAAATATGTAGGCTACTTACCAACAAATACAGAGGCTCCAATTTGTGAAAATGAAAGCTCAAGTCGTCCTCGGGTTCTAGCTGCCCCTTCTGGGAAAATAAACTGTGAATCTGCACCACCCTGGAAAAGGAAGGCAACATGAGTAGATGGAAGAGGTGGTACCACTGATAGATTTACTGATGCCCTATGCAATGACTAAAACTGAATAAGAGAAAGCTAGTTGTAAGTGACAAATTATTATCAAAATGGACACATCATCCTATTTTTCAATAATAAAAGCAAATCTACAGAAAAAGAAAATTTAAAGTCACCCCCCCCCCCCCCATTTAAAAACAAACAAACCACATATATGCATTACTGCATGGAACATCACTGAAAATTAGAGTTCTGCTTCTATGTCAGATGTATACAGGTTGAAAAGAACATGGGCCAGAGAAAAACCTTGGTGGGTGGTAGGCGGGTGCTCTGGTGTGGTTTGCTTCTTCTTTCCTATCAAACGCTTATCATCTTTATCTCCCCTCCTTCTTTTTTGAGTTTGTTACTCTCTTGTAACACCTCTAATCTTCGGCACTTATATTGCCTTATTGCGTTGCAAGAGCTGTTAAACACTTCCTAAAACAGAAGAGCCTTGTGGCAAGTCAGGTCGTATGACCTAAAGGGTCTCATATCCAAGCTTCCATTCATAATGGCATATATAAACACCTCATCTCATGCCACATTTCCTTGAAAGTATCCATTTCACACTCGGCAGGGAGTCGTATATTTCAGAGCCTCAAGAGGTGTAAATGCACCCCCAAAACTTCAAAGCAACTGTAAGTCTTTTTCTTTATGGGGAAACAGTAAAACAAAATTATAATCTAGATTCAGTTCTTCACTTACAGGACCAAGGTACGATGGATCAAAATTGAGATAAGGAGACATGATGGCGCCAGCAGCTCCTGTCGTTACTGTGAAGTACAAAGATGAGTTCAATTAATTTGAAATCTGAATATTGACTCACACAATTGGTAGATTATTATTTATCTGAAAAAAAAAAAAGACATGAGCAAAGAATTGAAAAATTTGGAATTACATTTTCAAAAACTGACAAAATCGTATCGTAGACCTACTTCAGACCTACACATGATGGAAAAGAAATGCATAGCATCTTTTTTACAAATAAGTAGCAATCCCACCCCCATCCACAGTTTGAAAATTAGGCCTACTCTAATTCGGCAGTTCAGTGATCGAAAACGCGCACGAGGGATTCCACGCTGCGCTGCACAGTTTTTTTTATATTCCAGTTGCGACGCGTTTTGGGTGGGCCCGAAACCTTTCGCTTTTTGGTTACGTTTTCTGAACCGCCATGGCACCTGGAACACCATTTTAACTAAGAAAATCCAAGCTTTAAAATGGCGTCCTCAATGTCGAGATCGATGTAATAGAAGTGGAAATATTTTGTTTTGGAAACGAGAAAGAGAGAGAGATGCGTTGTTATTTTTCAGTTCAAAATGAGCATTAATATTTCACATGTTTTTCTTAACAAGGGGGTTTTAGACAGGGCTTACCCCCCCCTGGTAGCGATTGCTTTCCTGCTCGCAACCCCT